ACCTTAAGGATACCAGGACTCCCTGACCTCTCTGATCCTACAGCCAAATGACACCTGTGACTCTGGAGCATTACTCTTCTCTCACATGGCATTTCAAGGGCATGGGTTAACGCAAAAATACTGTAAGTCGGAAACCTCAAAAAAGAGGCATAACTTCAGTGCTTGGTAACCTGGTCTGAAAGAAACATCCGACCTCTCGTGAATGTTTCTGTCGCACAAGGCATTCCTTGCATTCCAGTGATGCTTTTGACAAAATAAAACTTTTTGTCTTAAGCAAGGAGACTGTTTCCAACATGCCCTTGATTGTGAAACCACTGGAAGAGGCTCTTCACAGAGCTGCTCCAGTTTGGGTGGGCTCAGCGCTGTTTGCCATACAGCATCCAAGCAGAAAGATGCAAGGGTGAGTCTTTAAATGCAGACCCTGGTAGTCTGTGCCGTCTTTATTTCCACAACTGTAAAAATGGGGATACCAGTTATTTAACTTCTAGAAAGGACTGTGAAAAATTATTTAGAAAGTGCTGGAAGCAGTTCTGTTGACCAAAAAACTGTTACCAGAAATGTTTTCCTTCATAAAATGGTGTTTGCTGATATACAGAAAACTGTCAACCTTTTCTGTATCAAAATGCTCACTTTACATCAATTTTTCTTATTTGTGTTTGGGAGGAGTTTCAGGACCCTGCTTTATGTTCAAGCTGGAAATACAGCACTGCTCCAGTGCTTCGTTACTTGTGTTTCCAACTATCCTGACACTCAGACAGGAAAATAAAAATTCAAATCCATTCAGCAGCTAGAGCAACATTTTAAATGTAAGCCATCTTTTTTCACCACAGGCACAGACACACCAGAATAATTATCTCAACATTTCACATAATAATGACAAAGAGGAGTTTTAATTCCATGCCAGCTTTAAGACAAGGTAACTGCTTTAAAATAAAAGGTGTTTGCAAATACAGGGATGTTTCTCCTCTGCATCCTTCTATTTGAATGTTGACTTTTTCTGCCACTGTCCCAAACCTGGAAAACACTCCCATACAGGTAAGCAAATGCTCAACTCTTACTCAGTGGAAAGAGGACCCAGAGTGAGGCACCCAGTCCCAACCCAAGCATGTGCTTTCTTGCTCTCTCAAACCAAGATCTTCTGCAGGTATTTCAAAAACCCAGGTGCAGGATAGGCTAATTCAAAATCAGTGGAAGGTGCTATCCAATTCTGAGCAGGGATCCAATCCTGAAAAAGCCCCATTTCAAACAAACAAACAAAAAAACCCAACTGTCCTGTGGAAATCAATGGGAATAAGGCACTTGGCTTTTGGAGATGAAATACCCTGTTGTGACCCATTCTAATTCCTCCACTTCTTGCACAAGGATCTCTCAGCTTGGCTTCTTCCAAAAGAAAGACATGTTTTAAAGTATGCTTTGCATGCACAGGGATTGATAACAGCCTCTCACACATCCTTTCCTCTCACCGCTCTTGCAGAAAAAAGGAGAGGAAAAATCTTTTGTAAGTACAGAGTGCAAAATCCCTATTCTACCTAGATATTTTTATTATTAAAATCTAAATAAAATTTTATTATTATTAAAATTTACAACATGGACACCTAAGAGAGCCCTCTGAAAACATCCTTTTGCTATTTGTCACTGGTTTATCTTATGTTTTTCCCCATTTTTTCCAGTTTCAGCTGGAAGGGCAGCAGCTGTGCTTAGTTAGAAGCAAAACCATTTCACTTAGAACCACTTCAAATTGCAAGGAGGATGACTGATGGTGTTTTGCCATTCAGAAAATGTCAGCCCATTACTATATGCAACACACTGTAACGCAGAATGACCTCATGTACAAATGTTGGAAGCTTCCTGAGAATTTCACATCATTCATAAAAACAAAGAAAGTGTAAATCAGTGGTCTGCTAGCTCATCTCTCCCTCCTTTCAATATAACTGGTCTAAGCAGGCAGTTAACTTAGCATAACAAAATTAATGAAATAGTCTGACTGAAATACTAACCGAGATAATAGATGAACTGGCAAAGCCTCTCTAAAGCTGAAGTTACAATTGAAGTGTGGGTAATAGATTCCATGTGTTTTAAGATCATCTCAGATTCATGCTTGGGAATTTAATAACCATTTTTGTTAAGATACATGTTTCCAAAGTTTTGAAAATCTGGCTGCAAAGAATTTTTTATTTTGACCTGTTGCTCTTCTATACACACTGTGACCTTCCTGTAAAATTTCTGGATTAACAATACATGAAGTCTTCACACAGATCTTAAAAAAATTAAGGAGTTATTAGGTAAAGTTTTACAGTCTGCATTATATGGCAAGTAAGAGTAGATGAACCTGTTTCCTTCTGTACCTAAAATCTATGAACATGTATTCTGAGAATGAAAACAAATCTCTGAGCATGGTTATCACTTCAACCGCAGAAAAGGAAGGAGTAAAATATGATTTGTTCATTTAATACATGCACTAGAGTTGTCTTTAGCAAGTAGCAACCAGTAAGCCTGCAGAAACATGTCACCAGGCTGCATACAAAAAAGAAGTCAGGCATTGTACAGAAAGTTCTGCCCAACAGTCAATGGAGAAAAGCGTAAGAATGTGTCTTTTGTATGAAACAGCACTTGCAGCATGGGCAGTCAGTACTTAGGGGACCACCCTCTTTAATACGCAGGATCCACTACTCACAGCCTGCTGGCTGACTCAGCACACACACAGATGACAACAGAGGTAGAAAACCTCAAACCTTCTGAAGACTGTGAAAAGGACCAGAAGAAAAATGTCACGAGAGTATAAATCATTGACTAACAGCCTGAGAACATTATTTTGTCTGTAGATGGAAAAAGTAAAAGCAGTCATCTCCTCCAAGAACATGCATAACGAGAAAGAAGATGCTTCTAAGAAGGCCATTAAATGGGTATGGTCTTGCTCAGACATGCAGGTTTCTCACAAAAATATCGGTGCCTCTTTTACCCAGTAGCTCCCTGCTATGGAAAAACACTTCTTCAGAGTCTGGAAAATGCTGTTTGATCTCAGTAAATTACATCTCACTGCTTGTCGGTTTCTGATTGATGGTGTAACTTAGGGAACAATATCTGTGTGTGGAATACTGTCTGGAGAAGCAGTCAGGGATTATTGAAAATACAGTATTTATGCAGTTTAAAAATCAGTGGCACATTACACACAACTTTTTTCTAGAGTATGAAAAATTACTGAAGTGCATTCGGGAACAAAGGGTAAAAGGTCTTTCGTCTATTTGTAAGAACACTCGACTGGTAAGACTTCTTAGTGAGTTAGTAGTGATGGATGCAAGAAAAAGTGTCAACTGCAGTTGAGCATAAAGCCAACTGCTTCTCTGACCAATGGGCAGAAAGGAAGACGTCACTGTTCAATGGTGGTCAGAGAAGAGGGAAGAAAATAAAATTGAAGAAAAGAGAAGGAAAATGAACCAAGGATCACTGATTTCTCTAAGCCATTTAAAACTACTGGAGAAGGAGGAAAAGTGTAAAGTTTCATCACACCATGTGTTGTTTCTTCATCTATCTGATACGTCACATTTAGTTGGAAGACTTTCAGAAAACAGCCACTCTGAAAGAACAGCCACCTCCTCAGCATAAATCATTCTGGAGTTACTGAATTCAAGGGCTCAGTGCTGATTTACACCAGCCACAGGTATTACTTTATACACACCTCACCTTCCAAAACTTCATTTGAGTCCTTAAGGTCCTGTGATGACATAATCACCTGTTTTTCACAACACAAACGCAACAGACATCAGGACATTGGCCACAGAAGGCCATGACTGAAAATCATTATGGAACCTCCACAACATACATCCTTCCATCAGATATAAAGAGGAGAAGATTAATTTCAATGTATTAGTGCATCAGAGAAGCAAATGAGGACAGATGCTGCTGCCAGTGGTGTGACTGTGGAAAAAAAAAACAAATGCACACAAATCTTTGGCAGGTGTAAAGTAAATGAAAAGAAATACCTCCCACAGACCATACAATATTAAACTGCCAAATTCATTCACTGCTACAGACAGACAAAAAGTGTGAAGAGCTTATGGAAGGGTTAGCTCAATTCACCAAGTGCAGGTGTGCTGCTGGTAACTCAATGATTCAGAGGCAATTAACAGCTCAGGACACCTTTAAATGCTGTAGGAGTGTGAGGATTTTGGACACACAAAGTAGGGTCACCATACTCTTTCTCTGTTTCCCTTCTTGTTTCTCTAGCATCAGTTACTGTCCCATTCCAGGGACAGGGAAGCAGCTCAGTGGATCTGGTATACTCCAGCAGGGCCATGTTAATGCCCGTGTATGCTCTCTACCTGCTACGAGAGCAAGGGAATGAGGAAGCAAGAGAAGCATTGTCAAGACCACAGGGTAAATTCATCAATGATTTCCTGGAAATTACTGAAGATTATAGTAAACCTTAGGACAGCCAAGAAACACTGGATATGAAAATTTATCTGCAGTTTTTTAAAATTAAGTAACATGGAGTGATGACTTTGAAAGCAAATGGAGATGCAAGTCTGTAAAGGGCTTCATGACATAGTTGGATTGCAGGAATAGTTCCCACACATGGTTCAGAAAGAAAAGGACAGAAGAGGCTCAGTGGGAGGCCTGTGGAAAAACTTGTGGACAACATTTCTGAGAAGAGAGGAAAGATAATTCTGTGGTGGGGGCAAAGATAATTATTTGTTGCTGTGCAAAAGCCAGGCGGTGACCACCAAAGACAGCACCTCAAGTGACTCTTTGAGACACATACACAGGAACAGAAAGGTACAACTAATTGTGCTCCTGAACCATGAGACTTCTGAAGTACAAGCCTGCACCATCGCACAGTAACAGCCCTATGTTGCACCGCACAAGAAGCCTTCCAGAATACAGCCACCGTCTTGTAAACACCTCCGTTCTGATCCTTACCCTCCTCCCCAGCAGCAACCCACACCTCCTCGGTGCCTGCCCCAAGGCAAGGCAGTCCCAGGTGCCCCAGTCGGTGCACTTACCTCTCACTTTTGTCTCCGAGCAGGAGGGGATGTCCTCAGAGGCCAGGATTTGGGGGAGGCATGTGGGAGCGCCAACCCCCTGTCCCAGGTAGGAAGCGGGTGGGTAGTAGGAGCACATGCGGTACTGGGAGCTGACAGCGTGGCGGCTCTCCACGCCCTTCACCTGTTGGGAGAGGAAAGTGCAACAGTGGCCTGTGAAATCTGAGCCCCCGCACCCCACGGGCACCCCGCTGTCCCTGACACACGTGGATTTGAAGGTCACAGAGGGGTGGATGGGAAGGAAAGTCCTGACACACTGGCCTTGGGTTTTTGCTTTGGTTGGCTTGCGGTGTGCCCACGCCGCTCAGCTACCGGGGAGCTGGTGTGGTACAGGATGTGACTGAGCAGCAGCACCAGCACCAGCATACCTGTGGCTGGTTTATCTTACCTCAGGTCAAGCTGTATCTGGCACACAAGCATGCACAGTTCACTGCAAGGAGCCTCCTGGTAACTCCCCTGCTTACAGCACAGACACCACCACGGGAAGCTCTCCAGACCCCTTCAACTGCATGCACCCAGCCAGTGTCAGAGGTGAAGTGTCGATCCAGTCCCTACACCTACCCAGAGACTATCCCATCTCAGACTGGTGGTAACTGCTCTGCCATGGATCTAAAGGACGGCTAAGGACAGTCCTACCATCCAACTCAGGACATGCTCCACGACATCTTGAGCAGCGGTACACACACACAAACACAGTGCTTTTCTTACAATCCAGTAAGATGGAAAAGTATTTTCCTGATTTATTCAGAGAAACCAAACTGTGGACAGACTACATGGGAAGTCTGTAGTGGAGCCACAGCTGGACACCAGCCAGCTGGTCTGCTGTGTCAGCACAGTTTCTATGAGACAATCCCTTCTCCCTCCCACAGCCTGCAGCAAAGTTGCAGCACTCAGAAATCAAAGTTTATCCTACTCCAAAGCCCTGCAATTATCCAAACTGATCCACTCAGAGAGGTGCTAGTGCTTTTTAAAATTTTTGGTTTATGAAAGAACTACCATCTGCTATTATTTGCTCCAAAGCCCTACAATGTAACAAGGCTACAGTGCTCCAAAAAATGCAGCCAAACACTTCACAAGATTGGGATTTTCAACAGGAAAGGTAACACTACCTGGTCTTCCTAAGTCTGCTGGGCAGTTAACGATTGTAAGATGGGAAGCTTCCAGGCAGAGAAAAAAATATCAGTTTTGTACCAGGTATAAAGGTAGCAGTGCCAACAGTAACACATGTCCAGCTATGCCATCAGACGTCATCTTCACAAGCAGCAGTGCTCGACAGCCGTTTCAGCCTTGTCTCACCTCAGTTAGAGGAGCTGTGCCCACTCCACTGCAGCTCCCTCGGGTCCCAGACAGCTGCACATGGAGCCCTGCTCCTCAGCCCTTTCCAGGCTGCGAAGCTCAGACCCGGGGAGCAGAGGAGGCAAGGGGTGAACCTGCTGTCCCACGCCAGCCGACCCCCAGGATCTGGTCCTGTTAGAAGGAGCCACCAGCACAACTCAGTGAAGCAGCCAGAATGCAGTCACCCCTTGTTTTCCAGGGGCCCCTTTACTAATTCATTTTAGTATGCCTAGCTGGAAATAACATGGCCCGAATCACATAAAATCCTCTTGGTGCACTCTGAGACAAATGATAACGCCCTGCTTTCCATTTGGAGCCACGTTTGCAGCAACACGAAGTGCTGACAGAGAGCGGTGGCTGTTTACAGGAAGCAAAGTGCACCTGCCTGTAGTCTGAGAGCTGCACAAGTGCATGTATTTACACATGTAATGAGGGATCAGCAGGACATGCTTTTAGTCTGTGAAAGTAATAGTTTTTCTATTATAAATTATGATTTTTCTACCATGTGCACCCTATGCATGCAGAAAAAGTTCAACATGTACCAAAGTTTCATTCATGATAAATAGTAAATTGCTCTTAAACGTTTTAATGAGTCATTCCAAGGAAGCCTGAAGTCAAAAGAGCCACTGACGTCTCCTCTGCTGTTCTGAAAAAGGGCAGTCTCCGCATGGAAACAGACATCTGTGCTTTGCAGAGACTCCCACAAAAAAACCCAGGCTGCCTCTGCCCTGAAAATTATGGATTGGCAATACAAACCACCCAAAAGCTCTGTCCAAAAGCCATTTCGAATCTGCACACCTGCAAAGCTCAACAGCTCTAGATGTGCTGAGGGAAAAAAGTTAGCAAACTCCTCTCTGCCTGTGGTTTTGCACACACCATCTTCCTTCCCTCAGTGAGGCAGGGCTGTGGGCAGCATCTGCAGTCCTCACATCTCCACCCCTCCCTTGTGCAAGTGCACGTGTGCACATGCACAACTGAGAAAAGGTCACCTGCAGGAGACAGCATTACTTCAGCTGTAACAAAATGGAGGGATCACTGCCTGGCACTGAAACAATCACATGCGTGTTTCCTCTCCCTGCAGAGTGGATTCAGTGACCTGTTTCCTTTCAAACCTACTTTTAGGGTTTTTCTCCATTTCTTAAAAAAAACAACTCACCTAAAATCTCTGGATGCAATGAATTATTACTACTATTATTATTAGTGTGTGGTAGCTGGCTAGCAAGAGACATGTTTTATAATCTTATTACCCACACCAAGTCTATGAACCACAGTTCGACCGACAGCCAGAGGCTTGGCTCTGCAAAGAATATGCTGTGTATTAACCGCCAAAGAAAATCTAAAAGCTTTTGGTTTTGTTTTATTAAACTGTTTAGAATACACACTGCAGTAAATCTGAACCATAAGGTTTCCTTTTTATAGTGCTTAGCAATCCTATTTTACAGTAACAATAAAAAAACAACCAGTCGTAAAAATTCTTGACCTTAGCACTGCATTAAAAAGGGGGCTTAGGAGATCATTACCCCATAAGAGGGGGCATTTGCTCTGTATTAACTCCAGCAGCTCTGGAGAGTCCTTGAACGCTTTTGGGTGCCAGAAAGGGCGATAAAAACAGCCCTGGGGAGGCCCTGGGATATTCAGATTATCTCTAACCCAGGGCAGTCCGGCCTTCCAAACATTGCAGCCAGATGCCAGGTGTGAGATCCTTCCCTGGGGTCTGTTGTGGGGCAACGCTGGGGTTGTGCAGGGATCACAGGAGGAGATGCCTGGCCCTCTGGTGTCTCCCCCTGCCTCCCTCACCCCTTCCAGCCCTACAGAGAGGCCAAGACTGGCGAGGGCTGGGATGGTCCACAAGCCACTCTAGTTTGTATCACTGCAAGCTACACACTGTAAAAACACAGCTTGTTTTAGGTGAGGAAGTGCTGGGGAAGGGAAGGGCATGCATGCACTTGCTTTTTGCAGAGAGCAAGCTGAGCTCCTGAGTTGAACACCTGAGTTGCCCACTTACAGTGCATCCCCTTCCAGCCACACATCACTCGCACCCTGCCCCGAGCCGCAGGATTGATTCACCACTGACTTCAGTGGGAAACACAGACCATCAGAGAAGCACATTTGGCTTATTCAGCATTTATGGGTTCCCCTAAATTGTACCACACAGCACACACTCAGTAACTTTTAAAAGGATGTACTGCAAGCAAGTGGGATGCTTATAACTCCTGGACAAATAAATATGGCCTGATTAAAAGACCATGTGTGCAGTGGAAATTCTTTCCCTGTTCCCTTCCAAAGCTAATATGGGGAATCAAGAGGCAGCTACAGCTCGTCCACAAACAGGCAAGCTGGAAGTAGGATTTGTCTGTCACTAAGCACAACAGTCAGTGCAGCCCTACGGCACTGCCCAACAGTGACAGAATATGTAGCCAACAGGGAATTGTAAAGAAAATGCTCTTGCATTTGTTGAGACCATTCCTGCGAAAAAGCTTTCTCACCAGCTGGTGAAGAGCAAAGTAAAGCCCAGCTCCTCCTTCCAAGCTCCTGGCAGCATCTCCATAACCTCTACACATCTTAATGGAGGAAGAGCAGAGGAAAGGAGGTGGCCAGAACAGAGACAGAAAAAAGACAAGGCAGGCCCAAGTGGTAGCTCGCTTCTCCTTCCAGCCTCAGAGACTAGAAAATGGTCCTGCCCTTCCCAAATGATTGATTCAAACAAAACATCACACAGGTAACTCTTTTATTTGCAAAAGCTGTCAACCACAAATTCCTTGTGAGCACGGCAGTGTTACTCTTAGCACATTTTGCAGCTGATCCTGACTATAGGGCTTATTGCCAAGAAGGAGAAGGAAGAGGAGGTTGCAGATGCTAATCCTGTGTGGCAAGGTCTAAGAAAAATTCAGAGCAACAGAAGAGATCAAAGTACTATCATTCGGCTCTGCCACTGGTGTGACACGTGATCTCAGCCAAAATACTTCAGCTAGACTTTCCATCCCTGACTTAATTATGGAAACATCAGAGAAACTCTATTAAAATCTCTAGCATAGCCTCCTCGTTCTGCCTTGACCTTAAAAATAAAGCCAGCTGTAGGGGACATAAAACTGCATTTTGCATTTATGTGTTGTTTTTTGCAAACAACAGAATTCACAGGTTGGTTTTTGGCATGAGGCGAAAAGGCATCTGCTGGGCACTGGCATGGAAATCCAGACATCAGGAAATCTCCACTCTGTCACCTGCAGGCTGTGTGACCATGGGCAAGTTATTTAACACTTCCCTGACTCAGTTTTCCCAGCTGTTACCCAGGGTTGCTGCTACTCTCCCATTTTGCAATGCTACTGCCCATGAGCTGACCGCTCACAACTCCTGCTGAACTCACGCTGCCCAAGGTGGCTTTGTTTCATTCCTAAAACCAGCTAAGCATATTTTCCAGCACAAGGAAAAAAACGAGTCTACGATACCCTGCCTTGACTCACTTTGATTCTAGCACAGAAAATACAAGAGACATCTATATCTGTCCCTACTTGATAGACAAACTTAATTAACCTTTGCTATTCTGTTCCAACCTATTCTTTTAGACAAAGGCAGTGACCCATAAACAATATGTTACCATCAGAATCTCAACTGTGGTGACACCTAGAGATATAGCCCTATCAGCAGTATCGGAAAATAAACTGCTTAGATTAGCTCCTCCAAGAAATATGGATTGCATTCATGTCACACATGAGCTGTCAGAAACATTAGGATACTTTTAGCATAAATCTGTAGTGTGAAGGGTATGTTATGAATACAGTATATAATACA